CTGAGTTGAGATACCCGCCAATGGAAAAACTGGCTTTTGCGCTCATCACTGCAGCTCGGAAATTACGACCGTACTTCCAAGAACATTCGGTTACTGTATTAACCGCGTTCCCATTACGATAAATTCTCCACCGACCTGACACATCAGGTCGAATGGTCAAATTAGCCGTGGAACTAGGGCAATTCGACATCCACTACAAGCCGAGGACTGCCGTTAAGAGACAAGTCTTGTCCGACTTCATCGCCGAGTTCACACCAAGAGTCCAGGAAGTTATCAGCGATCCCCCCTGGGTGATGTATGACGATGGATCATCAACCGCAAATCGAGCGGGGGGAGGGATCGTCCTAATTGATCCCGATCAACGGGTCTTTTGTCACTCTATTCAATTCCTTTTTCCCGCTACCAACAATGAAGCTGAATACAAAGCATTGTTGTCGGGGCTGAATCTGGCAGAGGCTATGAACGTAACTTACATTAACATCTTTTCGGATTCGCAAATTCTAGTCAATCAAATACTTGGTACCTTTGAAGTTAAAGAACCACGCTTAATGCCATATCTAGCGATGGCCATGAAGAGATTGTCCAAGTTTCAGTTCAAAATTGAGCACATCCCACGGACTTCTAACGTTCAAGCTGACGTCTTGTCGCACCTCGCATCAAGTGCGAGGATCGAAGACGTAGAGTACGTCCAGGTCGGCACATAAAAACTTCCCTCTACCTCGGTAAAGCAAATTGCCAGCACCGAGCCAGGTTCCAAGGACCAAATTGTCACTTGGATGGATCCCATTATAGCATATCTCGAAACTGGGGCCCAACCACAGGATCCTAAAGAAGCAAGAGCCTTGCAAACTCGTGCAGCTCGGTTCACTCTGGACAATGGAACGCTTTATAAAAGAGGATACTCGGTCCCGCTGCTAAAATGTATACCCGAGCAAGAATCGCTCTTCGTATTGCAAGAAATCCATGACGGAGTTTGTGGAAGCCATTCGGGGTCTCAAGCTTTAGCCTATAAGATTCTGCGGCAAGGATACTATTGGCCGACTCTGAAAAGAGATGCTGCAGATTGGGTAAGAAGGTGCGTCAAGTGTCAAAGGTTCGCGCCCAACGTCAACTTGACTCCAGAACCACTCAGGTCGGTATTCAGTCCGTGGCCTTTTGCAAAATGGGGGATCGACCTAATTGGACCCTTACCAATTGGGAAGGGAGGAGTCAAGTATGCGGTCGACTACTTTACAAAATGGGCCGAGGCAGAACCGTTAGCCACGATCACAGAACAGAAGATGATTGACTTCATATGGAAAACATTAGTATGTCGGTTCGGTGTTCCAAATTCTATCGTAACTGACAACGGCAGGCAATTTGAGGGCAAGAGGCTCGCGGAATTTTGTGAAGAATACAAGATCAGACACCTTTTCTCGTCTCCATATCATCCACAGGCGAATGGTCAAGTTGAAGCCGTGAACAAGATTATAAAGAATGGTCTCAAGGTGCGGTTAGACAGTGCAAAAGGAGCTTGGCCTGAGGAACTCCCCAATGTTCTTTGGGCATACCGAACTACAGCTCGATCCTCGACCGGTGAGACACCTTTTTCATTAGCCTATGGATCGGAAGCAATGATTCCTGTTGAACTTGGGTCCCCAACATATCGGGTGCAAAATTTTGAAGAAGAACATAATCAAGTTAATATGAGAGCCAATCTTGACTTGGCAGATGAACTACGTGCACAAGCCGGACTCAAGAACGCTGCCTATAAACAGAGAAGTGAAAAATATATCAACTCCAAGCTTCGCCCTCGCCTCTTTAAGGTCGGCGATCTTGTACTCAAAAGAATTGTGGGACCCGACCCTGGACCATTAAAGCTGAAGTGGGAAGGTCCATTCCGGATAAGCGAGGTTTTAACCAATGGGGCCTACCAGATAGAGTATTTGGACGGGACACCACACCGATACCCGTGGAATGCACAATATCTGAAAAAATTCTATCAATAAAAAGGCCTTAAGTGCCTAAAGTCGGTTTTTCAACTGACGTTCTGTAAAAAGGCCTTAAGTGCCTAAAGTCGGTTTTCCAACTGACGTTCTGTAAAAAGGCCATAAGTGCCTAAAGTCGGTTTTCCAACGGACGTTCTATAAAAAGGCCTTAAGTGCCTAAAGTCGGTTTTCTAACTGACGTTCTGTAAAAAGGCCTTAAGTGCCTAAAGCCGGTTTTCCAACTGACGTTCTGTAAAAAGGCCTTAAGTGCCTAAAGTCGGTTTTCCAACTGACGTTCTATAAAAAGGCCTTAAGTGCCTAAAGTCGGTTTTCCAAATGACGTTCTGTAAAAAGGCCCTAAGTGCCTAAAGTCGGTTTTTCAACTGACGTTTTGTAAAAAGGCCCTAAGTGTCTAAAGTCGGTTTGTTTTAACTGACGATTCTTTATAAACTTTAAATTTTAAAGTCGGTATTTCAAACAACTGGCATTCTGAAAAACGGCAAAAAGCTCCTCAAGTCGGAAAACGACTTAGATAATTTAAGTCAGATAAGAAACCAATAGAATCCGAGGTTACTGACTTAACATAACAATGCGCGAAAACAAACAAATCATTGAAAGGGAAAATCTCCTTAAATCTGACATAAAGTTTGAGGTGTAATCTTGAACATACACGTGTCCCGAAACTGTTGAAATTAATATCCGAAATTTATGGTACGTGCCTGTTGGGAAGAGTAGTGGAGAAGACACATTCATAATCTCTCGAAAACTACTCTGTAACCGTCTTTTGGTCTCGTATAGCTCTATCATGGGAGCAAAAATGTGATTCTTATCTAAGGAAATTACCTCGGCTTAATTTGTAAAGGGTATGTATACGAATTCAGAAATGGAGGACGGTTGAGGAAAGGATGTCATTAAAAAGCACACTTATTTGCGTACTTCTTAATACCAGGGGCCTCTATGTTGATATCAGAATCAAATACCGTGTGACAAAGGACAGATTAAAGATTTCAAAAAGGCCAAATCACGAACCAGGTCTTTGATAATGAAATTTGAAATCATATTGGCACCTCGGAAATACCACCTCGGTTCCCAACGACGTCCAAAGACAAATAATAACTCCCAAAGGACATCAGGACAAAACACTGAAACCTCGAGATTTCCACCTCGGTTAGAGAGCAGCTTACCGGAGGTCATGGAAGACTAAAATTCTATCGAAAAACCGACGTCGTAAATAACACCGACTTCAACCCGACCGAAGTGACGCTTGTCACACAGGTAGAGGAACGCCCATGCTCATCATTACCTAAAAAGCCTGCCTACGTCATTGCCGCCCCTAAGCCGTCAAATTCTCATTAAATAAAGTTGATTTATCTTGGGAGGTGTGCCAAGCATAACTATAAATAGCAGCATTAAAGACAATACGAGGATTCGGTTCCAGGACAGAAAACTCATACATTTATTATCTCGGTTTTTTCTGCTACCGACTTTGTGTATTAGAGAAAACCGACTTTCCAATTCTATAACCGACTTTAATATCTTCAATAAAAATCATATTTTCTGCAATCTTTACTGTACTTTTTACCTTAATTACGTTGGTTAAATCCGTTTATCAACAATAGTTTTTCACTTCTTGTTTTGGCTGCTTATGAGATAAATACATGGTTTCTTATGTTTGTATATATATATATCAACAAGCATATGTTATGTTAGGACTTTTACAAAAGCAAATGTTCTTCATCTCTTANTTTTTTTTCATATGTTTGGTGTTTTGTTTTTGTTAGTATGTTCAACTTATTGGTCATAATTTGTCTTTTTTGTTAAAAAAAATTGTTCTTTCTTTCATTATCCATTATTTTTTCTTGTTCATGTAATGTTATGTATGTCTGCCTATGATAAACATGCTAACTTGAGTTTTGTTTATGGCCAGATGTAATTCTCCCTTGTACTTTTGTACAAATCGCCAAATATAAACCCTTTATGTGTTGTCAGGTTATTACTAAACGACAAATAATGTTGTCATTCTATAAAATTTATTGCATAGCTAAAAAGAAAATAATTTTTCCACAGTTTTGGTGCCAAAAATAATTTCCATGAATAGTGTATGGTGTAAAAGGGTCTCAAACTATTTTTTCTCCATTTTAAAATTAATTCTTCCTACTTATTTTTATTTCAGTCATGCTTTGCAACCTTCATCAATCTCTATTAGAAGTTGTGGAAACATAACAGTTATATGCTTAGAGTATAACTCTTCTATAATAAAATTTTGTATAACTATTTACCTTCTTAAATATATTATATTTGTTAACAATTATATTCATTTTCCTAATAGTGTATAAGTGCTGATACATGTTTTTCTATTTATAATTATTAATGCAAGTGTTGTTGGTTGAAGTTTGTGCAACTATCGTCTTAAAAGTTTGGTTGTTGTTTAATATCATCGGGTAATACAATAATGTTGATAAGTCATTATTTTAATAAAAATTATTGTATAAATTCTTAGGTTCTTTTTATTGGTTCATTGTATATCAAACATTTCACCTTTTTCAGAAACTATCAGTCTCTTGAATAATACAAAGGCCTCTATTTTTCATTTATCTATCTGATAATTGTGAACCTATACATGTACTCAAACATATATATGACTTGCAGCCTATACTTTAGCAGACTGTATGATTTCTTTATTTACTTTTTCGTATAGCCTTCATGTTTTACTAACTCAATCACTTTTTGTTGTACAGTAGTTTTAAAATTATCCCAATAATATTGTTCTGACCTTAATTTTTGTAACTATTTAGTTCACAACTTTACTGAAAGGTTGACAGGTTGATAGGATACTAAATTATTGGTTTTTGTGAATGGCTTTGTTTTTCAATAACTATCCAATGTATAAAAATACTATTGCATTCAGTTTTTTTGGTTAGTATCAATTTTGGCATGTACAGAACCAGACTACTACATATGTTTTACAAAAATATATTGATTGTTCGTAATTTTTTGTGTGTGCGCTTGTTTATAAACTTCATTTTACGAGCCTTGTGGCAGGGTGGAGGAAGGTGCAATAGTCTCAGATCCTGTATTTACTGTAAACCAACACGTCGTGGGTTGTCAACAAATTTTCAAAAGATAATTCCATTAACAGGGTTACTTAGCAATAAGGCTGAAGACAATCTAGTTCCATAAGACTGAATAAGCCTTTTCTTTTAGTATGACAATCAATTCTTATCTTTCCCCGCTTTGTATGATGGTTTTTTTACTTTATTTCATTGTCATTTTACTATAAGCTGATTTTTTCCTAGAACAAAGTAAAGGTACGCTACTGTAATGGTGCTCCATCTGCTGGGGATTGTGGCAATGAGGTTTGTTAGCATTCTCTCCCATTTGGTTACTGTCTGGCATTTTTTAATTACGAGTTTCATAATGTATTATTCTTGTTTTAGAGTTGCTCCCCCTCTACAGGTGCCATTGATAAAATAGCTACATGTCACAATAGAATGTCTATGATTTCGAAAAATTAAATTCCTTTTTTCACATGCTATAATAAGACACAAATTTGTGCAGCTGCAGGTTTGCATTCTAGAGGACACCGGATATGGGGAGCTGCAATGGATGAATTGATGTCTAAAGGCGCTATTTGACCAAGTAAATTGATCTTTAGTTGATTTAATTTTTCGTATTGTTTTTTTTTTCTTTTCTCATCTCTTGTAGTTTTCATTCCGTTCTGACACTTCTTTCCGATTTTTATCGGCTGGTGGCCTAACTTTTATTTTGCACTGTGACTAAGCGATGCTGGATTATTTCTTGATGCGTAATATTTTTTTATTTTCTGATTTTTTCCTTTTGCAATTACAAATCTGTGGTTCTTTTTCTTCAGGTGTTTCTATTTTGTTACTGGCAGGTGGGCTGGTGGAAACTCTATATGTGCAGGGGGGCTTGCAAAAGGCGATGCCATGGTTAGCGACAATGCCTTTTCATTATCGGACCGAGACGACCAGATTCCAATAGTCCCCCGGTGACTGGCGATTCTCCGGCGACAGGTCGTGGAGAGAGAAAGGTTTGATTTTTTGTTTGTTTTCTTCTCAGGATTTTTCCACATTTCTCTTTATAGCTTTTTCCTCTTCGGTTCTCTATATTCCGATAATTCTCAGTGCAATAGATTAAGTATTCGACTAGCAAATCAAAAAATAGGGGTTGGATTGCGAGTGGAAATTAACTAATCAAGAAAGGAGTGGTCAAAGTGTAAATATGATGTAGATTAGGGGTTAGATTGCGAGGGCGCTGGGGGTTTTATCATTTTCCAACTTTATACAACTTTTTCCTCTTCAGTTCTCTTTATCAAACCTTTTTTCTCTTCAGATAATTGTAAAAATATTACACTTATATATAAAAAAAGGTTCTCCCATTGAAAAATATAAAGAAAGAGTTGTTTCTGTAGGAAAAAAACAACCATAAGTGCTCAAATACAATTTCAGTTTTCAATATTTTTTTTTTTTCATTTTTCAGTTCATGAATAAAATATTAAATTTTGATAGAGTTCGTACTTCACAGTAATACTTTACATGCTTATGTGTTTGCTATTTATATAAATTGGATAATGGTAATATTTCAAGTTTTATAATTTTATATGCTTATGTCCATAAATTTCTAAGGTCACCGAGGAGAACTTCATCATGAAGCAAACCATGTCGGTCGTCCTGTCCATGGCCAACGCTGGCTCGAGGGCCAGCGGCTAGCAGTTCTTCATGTTTAACGGCAAGATCGAGTGACTCAAGCTGGGGTAAGCCTGACATTGGGTGACAGAATATGACAATTCTGTTGGATATGCTGTAAAAGCATGACTTTCAGATATGAACAATTTCATTTTGATCTGGCAATCATGTTTCGGTCAAAGTACATATGCTTGCAGTTTATTTATTTATGCAATCATACTCCTTGTCTTACATTGAGATAATGTGGTTCGTGGTGTCTCGAACAGAAAGGTCACCTATCGGTTCCTTGTAAGACTAAATTATTTGTTCACAGTCTAGACTGGCAGTGAGGCCCCACTTGGAAAAAGACTGTAGTGTATTCTTGATTCAGTTGATTTTTGACTGGAGAACTACACTAGTACTTATGTTAAGTATTGAACAGGACCGTGGAAGGCAAAGATTATGAGACTCACTGATCGTTGTTGTAATCTAGACCTTCAGTGATTGATGCGTTCTCTAAAGCTGTAAGATAATATAAAATAGGCATATATATATTTATTACTTATTTATTTGATTTACCAAGGGTGATTCCTATTCGGTTAGAATGACATACTCGGTATTTTGGTAAATAAGAATATTTATATAGTGTGCTATTATAAATTATTTACGGTAACTGTGTCCCAATGCACTGGGTTGATGACGTCCCCGAAATGAGCTCAGGAAGGAATATTATGTCAAACCCTGCAGGCGGATGTGTTCCGACATAATGGTTAACGATCTGAGTGGTACTAGTTTCGGAAATGAATAAGAAGTTGATTAATTATTTTGTCAGTAATTTAATTAATCAACGGACGTTATATCTTAAACATGGGGAGGTAAATCGATCAATCAGATTAATAAATATTAATCGAGTGGAGGTTTGATTTAATTGATTAAATTGGAGCCAAATGGGGAGAGCAATAATGATATTCTAGTGAGATATATTACTATTTAATTTTATTAGGATTTTAGGAATTAATTTTATTCCATATTTAATATTCCATAAGATAGGGAATATTCCTTCTAGAATATTACCTAGGGTTGGGAGACTTGAGAGTCTTCTAGAAGGTGATGTTAGGAGAAAGGAATCATGACCTAGTTGGGATTAGCTTATGGAGTAGAATTAGGATTCCTTAGCCTAATGGGATAAGCCCATATTTGGCACTTCCTTAAGGTCCCTAATGGAGCCTATGAATACACCATGTCCCAACCTCTTGAGATGTACAAGAGAGACTCGATTTTAAGGTTCCTATAAGGAAGAGAAAAATCGTGTTCATCATATATTTGAGAATTAGGGAGATTCAATTAATCGCTCCACCAAGATTAATTGAAGTAGGTGTTTAGGTAATCCATTAGAAGATTTTAAGGTGATATTTATCAAACCTTAAAGATCCAAAATTCCGTCCAGTCACCGCCATCGTCAGCCACCGTCGGCAGCCGCCGGAGGTCCCTCTCACGCGCCCGGACGCGCCACCTCCTTTCCCAGGTCCATGATGGTGTATAATTTTCGCGGCCGATCTATTTGAGTACAACCCAGGTGTGTAGCACGGCGGCTCTCCATGCGCTCGGTCTTGCTTGAGGTCGGGAGTTCGAAACTCAGCCTCAGCAGAAAGGTTTTTATTCTTCCAGAAGAAGGAAAAAGCATGCGGGCCCGCTCAGCCCGCGCCAGGCCCGCGTCTGTGTCACAGCTGAGCCCGCGAGCGGCCCGGTTCCAGCCCGCGAGCTGCCCAGCTTGCCAGCCCATCTCCTTGGCCCAATTCCGTGAACATCCGCGGCCCAACAACACTTCAGCAAGCCCAGCGACATCGAAAGCGGCCCAGCGCGTCTCAACTAAGCCCAGAGGCAGTCCAGACCGGTCCAGACGCGACCAGCGAGCTTCAAGGCGGTCCAACTCGACCCGGCAGTCCCGGTTAACGTCCAAGGAGGTTCCCGAGCATTACGAGTGGTCCAATTCACATACCAAAGGTCAGAGACGATCCGTTCGTGATTCAACACTCGACTAGAGTCGACAAAGGCCAAACCCTTCAACCGATTGGGTTGTGGTAAACAAACGATCTTCATCAAAGGAAATCAGAAACGTCTCTGAGTCGGTAAAAATTTTAAATCGTAAGTCCTAATCCTAACTATAGATTCCGCTGCGTTAGGATTCATTATTCAATAGATTTGAATGTGCACATTGCCGACGTTCCTAATAGAACCCAACAAATTAAACAATATTGATGCAAGTGAGTTCAAGAATTTAATTTTAAAGTTTTCTGCATGCTCATTTCAGTTCCATGTTCTGATTTATTGAAAATAAACTAATTAGGGTGTTATAATGTTTGTTTGTTGGAAATGTTCTATTTTTATAGAACTAGAAGCGAATTGAAGAAGATAAAGACTTGAAGACTTGAACTATGAAGCAAGATTTGAATCTATTGTATTTCAAATATTTGGTTTTATGTTTATCTTTACATATTAGACATAATTTCAACTCCAATTGCTTGTGGAAATAAAGATTTAGTTTTATGTAACTTGTGTATGTTATTGAATTTTGTTATCATATAGGACCCTTTTGTATTAGCATAATCTATGGGTACAACCCCAACATAATAATATCTATGGGTTTCTTCAAACATGCAATGATGGTGAACAGTAGGTTACCAATTTCTTTTAGATAATGACCTAAAATTATCCTAATTTCATTATTTAATAGATATATGACTGCTTTGATCAAATTCCTTATAGTATGACTATTTTTTAAATACATTAAGTCTATGAATTTTTTAAATCAACAATTTATATTCTCATTTATATAACATTTAAATGACATTAATAATAAATAAAATGATATACGATTGCAGTAGGTCGGCTCGAAGGCTTCCTAGTACTATAAGGGTGAGTTTGGTTGGCAGGGGTTTATTAGGCTTGATATAATCACTTTGATATTATCAAAAGCTATCTACTAATTCAACTTGACCATTAACTTGTTTGGTTGGTTATTGATAATTGTAACTTTTAAGTTGAAATTATTATTTTGCCCTTCATGATAATTAAATTTTCAAATCTTACCCACTGCAAAATCAGATTTCTTCACCGAGAGACGATGAAATTGACATAAATTCCAACGTGATTATCGATAATATCATTAAATTCTTGGTTCAGGAAGCAGTAAAATTTGACTCCCAACACGTAATTATCCATATTCCTGGTGAACTTCAGAAGCCCTAGATTCAACATCGAGCTCGAGCCCTCGATCCTCGCATGCGGCATGAAGAGGAAAACTAAGTTGTGCCTGCGGAGCAAGCCTCGTACGACGCCATGACAAATATAAACAAAGTCGATTCGAATTGTAAAGAGTGAACGAGCCAGCGCCATGACAATGGTCTCGTGAAAATTGGGAAAGAAAGGGGAAGGAAATTGGGGAAGAAAGGGACAATTGGGGAAGAAAATTGAACGGAAAAGAAAATGGGGAAGAAAGGGGAATGAAATTGGGCAAGGAAACTGGGGAAGAAAGGGGAAAAAAAAACCCGATAAAAAAAAGGGGGAAGAAAATTGGAAAAGAATGTGGAGATTGGGGAAGAAAGGGGTTGGACGAAAGGTGAAGATGGAAAGAAATTAGGGAAGAAATTGGAGGAGTGAAGATGGATAATTTAGGTGTTTTATTGATTTAATAATAAATGATACCTCATCCCATCATAATGGTAGGATACGGAATACAAAATAAAGGGACTAACAATCGGGCTTTTGCAGGTTTAACGGACTATACAAAGGCCAATCAAACAAAATAAACAACTTGATATATTAACAAATGGTGGAATATCAAGCCTAATCATGCCTACCAAACGCACCCTAAGAAAACTGGAGACGCCATGCCTGCTTGACACGTGGATGGCCTCAACACCCGTTTATTGCTCATCTGATTTATATGTTTGGGCCATTTTTCATTTTTTTTTTGCTTTCGGTTAATAATAACAATATTTGGGTTTTTTTCTATTGTTGTTAATACCCTTCATATAGGTTGCTTTTGAAGGCCAATATGGTCATTTAAAAGATAAATTTTTTCTACTTTTCTTCCTTATCCTTATCCGATCATTGATGGCGCTACTGCCGCCTAGAACGTTCCCACCGACTCCCACATTTTTTCTCCTCAAACCCCACAAATCGATGAGGAAAAAAGCCACGAAAAAGATTGTCAATTTGGAGAAGAAAATGGAAGGTAATAGACAAATTCGTTCATCAACAACATAAAATTTTATAGTGCGGATGAAATCGCGCATTCAGCTTATTGTTTGTGTAAGTGG